AGGTGTTGGAAATTTTCCGGCGAAACTTCCGGCGACGATTAGTCCCAACTCCGGCGACCTCTCACCAAATTGACGGCACCACTGCGTTCTCCTTACTTACAGCAACAGAATAGGAAGAAGTTTTGTGAGAAATGGTAAAGAATTGAGTGAGTTGGGTTTTCTTATATAGAGTGGTGAGGAAGAAGAAGACGCAAGATGATGATAATTGATCGGCTAGTGCATTCCGAGGCGCCGACTGAACAGTTCTCTGATTGGGACCAATTTTGGTTCCAGTCGGGGTACACTTTCTGGTCCAACTTTCTCTGAATTGAAATCCGTTCGCACCGTTGCGATCAGACAGTCGAATTCTATTCAACGATATAATTTTTATATTCATTCATTATACTTTTTCTGACACCACATTTTTGGGTGTTTGACTTTAACAGAGTCAAAATTGGTTTAATTGACCTTCCTCATAAAAGGTTCTCTCATTTAATTCACATCAATTATTCTCATGATTTATTTCAACAAATCATTTCAATATTTACATTCTAAACAAATTCTTTATTTACTCTTGATTTGGGTCTGTACTCAGGTTCCCAATCAAGACCACACAAATAGTCCACATTGGATTTATCTCTATGAGACTTATCCGGATTTTGATATTAGATGTCAAAATAAATTTCATATCGGCCCAAAGCCCAAAAATAATTTATTTTAATCAAAACAATTGTGATTAATTGATTATTTATTCATTAATAATTCTAGGGTATGTTTTGGGGTGTTACAGCTCCAGCGAGTATGTGCGACTCTCACTAGTCCACTGCTCCAGACCCAAGTAGTATTATACTTCGTGCCGCATAATGCCTCTCATGGTTAGGGAAAGGAGCATCCCAATCTACCTCCCTGAAAGGGAGGCGGTTGGCCAAAAGCGCCTTGGTTGTCACGCTGAAGTCATCGTAAGGGTTTGGCGGAATTGGCGGCAGCTTCACTGTAGGCCACCGGCGGCAAGGGAGACGGTGGCAGAATTCGTATGGGTCTAGCCCCCTAGTCGTTAGAGTTAACAGACTTGGGGGAGGAGGCAGGCTCCAGTGAAGAAGGAGGACCGCCGGAAAGATTCAGGGAAGTAGGAGCTTCTCCAGACATGTCAAAGAATAGTTTCGAAGTACAAGAAAAGGACTTGTGTTGAAAGGGAATGAATGGAGCAGGGTG